AAGTGATTAATCATTTTTTGTAAACAAATCATAGCCATATTCTGGTTTAGTGAAATGAATAAACTCAGCTTCAGAAAAGGCAGAGAATGAGTCACATGTAGTGCTGAAAGTGACATTTGTTTGTTTGGGAAGGAAGTGTCAGGTGGCCCCAAAGGGTCTCTGTGAACGCTTGAAATATGTTTCAAAAATTTCAACCATGTTTCAAAGCTTGACTAGCCAACTCCCTTCTATTCATTGAGCTTCTGATTTTTGGATGGCACTCTGGAATCAAACATCAGAATAGCTTTTGACTCTCTTATTTCTGAAAAGGAAGATTGTTTTTGAAATCCCCCTCTTTTTTTTTTTTTTTGCTTTTCTGCCTTATGCTAAGAATGTTCTTCATCGATTGATTGATTGATTGATTCATCCATCCATCCATTCATTCATCAGAAGGCAGAACAAGAAGCAATGGATGGAAACTAATTAAGGAGAGAACCAAACTAGAATTCAGGAGAAACTTCCAGACAGTTAGAACAATGAATCGGTGGAATGGCTTACCTTCAGAAGTTCTGGGTGCTTCATCACTGGAGGTTTTTAAGAAGAGATTGGACAACCTTTTGTCTGAAAGGGTAAAGGATGCCTTGCTTGAGCAGGGGATTTAAATAGAAGACCTTCAAAGTCCTTTCCAACTCTGTTATTCTTTCTTTCTTTCATTCATTCTTTCATTCTTTCATTCATTCTTTCATTCATTCATTCATTCATTCATTCATGCCTTTCATGCTTTTCAGCCTCAGTTAATGTTGGAGATGATGGAGGGATTATCTTCTATTATGTTTCCTTTTGGTCACAGGGCAGTGTCCTGAGCTGCCCATTCTTCCTAGGCTGAGAAAGCTCAATCAGAAGAGCTTCTCCTGGCTTTTCTTTTGGATGGACTGTGAGAAAACAGAGAGTCAGAAGGCTCCTTGAAGATGATTCTACAGGGAGAGTCAGTACATTCCTATTCAGGCCTTTTCTCCCACTAACCATGGACATGGAAGGCCTCCATGTTCCACTCATGACAAGTTCATCAAAATTCTCTTCCCTTTGAACAAAAATGGACAAAAATGTTGGAATAATGTTTGGAAGGAAATACAGAAACATTTTGACGTTGCTTGAACCAATTTGGAACAAAAGTTGCATTTGCTTTAAAAAATGTACATTCCCTGCAACATTTGCAAATGGGACAAAACAGGGAAGATGGTGGAACCTTGCATTGATTCTTGGATTCATTTGGATAACAAGAAAGTTGCTGTCACATTTAACAAGTACTGCCATAAGACATTATTTCTTTACAGGAATTTGATGCCCAGATTAGATTGCTTCTCTATCAGGTATCTTTTTGGTTGTTACATGTTTCAAGATATGAAATGTTGCGCAAGTTCTTTTTTATTTTTTCTGAGAAATTTGCAGCTTGGTTAAGCCGCATGCTCCTTCTCAACCGCACTTACATCAAGTGCAGGCTAAGAGGATTCATTGAAAAAGAAAACTCATGCTTAGATTCTGAAAAAGACCAGCTGTTCCCATCTGGAGATTCATCACCAGGTATGTCTACAGTAAAGGCAGAGTTTCTGTTGTGGTAATAGTTATTTGCAAAATACTCATTTTTGAGTTTAAGATAAGATTTTGAAACTATTAATATGAGATCAGCTAAAAACACAGGATTCTTTGACCAATATTAGAACTCAATCTAGCAGCGAGTTTTTTCTCAAGATAGTGTGACAGCAATCTTCCAATCTCTGGCTTGTTGACTGGTGTGTTTCTGGCTTTGGTTGAATGTCTTTTATCTGAGTACTTTTTGTATGGGAGGATCTGGGCACAACAACCCAAGAAAATCCTGGAAATATCTAAGAATTGATGATCTGGTCCCTGAACTGCAAGACAGTAAGGGCAACTTGTTTATTTAATATAAGTAATCAGTTCAACCCCTTCACAGACTCAAGAACAGTTCTAGAGATAGAAGAAGTGACTGATCAAAGAACATCCTGTCTATTACAGGAATCTCCCTAGCCAGAACAGCTAATAGAAAGAGTAAAAAAATAACAATGCAATCTTTCCTTTTCCAGTTGACCCTTTTTAAAGTACTTTCATGTCAAATCCATGCTGAATTGTTCATTTGAAATAAGTAGTCCTCCACTTGCAACCATAATTGAGCTGGAAAATACAGTCATGCTCTTCATTAAGTCTCACAATTTTACTACATGTTTTGTGACAAATTCTGTGGTCATCAGAATTTTGACTAGGGGTTATAAGTACCTTTTTAAAAGTCTATCATAACATTGAACAGTCACCAAGCAACTGGTTGTAAGTTGAGAATTATCTGAATCTTCAAACTTACACATCATCAGTGAAAAACCTGATTCCCTACTAAGCTTATGAAGATATTACTCAAAAGGCTCTTCTGAGATCAAATAATTTGTCTTGATTCTCAGGTTGAGACAACTGCAAAAACGTCACAATATACATTACAATAAACTCATGGTATGCTTTGCATTTGTAATCATTATAAATATACAGTAAATAAAGGGGATTACTTTCAAACATAGCATTCTCACAAAGATTTTTAAAATTCCTTTTTCATAATTGTTTGTGGTTCCCTTGATTGTGTTTTATCTTAGACAGTAAATAAACTTAGATTGCTTGATTGAAAGCTAAGAATATACCTGTTTTGTGTAGATGACTGACCTGCAGTGGCTTTGAATTTCTCAAGAACACAATTCCTTTAAGTCATTGACAATAAGAACAGACAAATTTGCTTTTTTTTTTTTCAAAATAATTGTATTTCCCTTTAAATTGTAGTGTCCTGGATTGTCCTCCTTCACCACCAATTTGAAGTGTTCTACACACATTTTCGCACAATGGCATTTCCATTTAATGTAACGGAAGGTAAGAGCAGCATAAATTATGTCATCTTCCTTTCCTGGAAGGGTACTACTGTTGAAGAAAATCCCAAGTGATCATAATATTCATGAGTTTATTACAAAATTTAAACTCTAGCACCAGTACATGAATTCCTGTTGTCCTCCATCTCCTGGGGTTGGGATTTGGGTTGGCACTTTGAAATAATTCAATGGGTGCATTTACAAAATGGCTCCTGTGGGGATTTTTCTTTTTTTAAAAAATAAAGTTTTTTATTTTTAAACACAAACATATACATACAAAAACATAAAAACATAAAATCCTCTTCCATTTTATATACATAGAGTGTGTCAGTTGGTTACATATCTTTTGTGCTATACTTTCGTAGTCATTTACTCACAATTTATATCAGTGAAATTAATATATTGTTTACACTGTCAAACTAACATATGTTTATATATTTATCAGTTATTAATCATCCATGACTAAACTATTATTCCATCATTTTATACGAGATGTTCCACATTTTATCTTAAAATATATGTTATACTTTCAAGTGGTTATATATAGCTACATTATGTTTTATATCAATCTATTAGATTTCTATCACAAAATGATCTAGTCTATTATATTACCATGCCTTTTTATCCAACCATTGATAAAACAAATCCCATATCATATAAAATTGCTTATCTTCTTGTTCTCTAATTTCAAATGTCAGTTTACTCATTTCAGCACAGTCCATAATTTTTTGATAACTTCTTCCTGCATAGATATTTTGTCATTTTTCCAGTTCTTCGCAAATATAATTCTAGCTGTTGTTAAAACATTTACAATCAAATGTTTCAGTTCTTTATTGTATATGTGGATTGTAGTCCAATATTTCTTTGCATCTGAACATGTCCACGACATTTCCAGCATTTATCCGATTTATTCTTAAACATTCTCACAAGTCTCGTCGGGGTAGGTGCCACCTGTAAAACATCTTATACAAATTTTCTTTATATGGAGTTGACATTGTCATTTTATAATTTTGAGACCACAATTTTTGCCATTTTTCCAAATCAATCCCATATCCAAAATTTTTCCCTCAAGCAATCATCATTTCTTTAACTTGCTCCTCCTCAATTTAAATTCTAATAGATGTCCATAAATTATCTTTTCATCAGTACCCATCAAAATTTTATCTAAGTCAGTCAGCTTATCATAAATACTTTCTGCCTTGGAGTCTTTATCAAACCTAGATTGTATTTGCAAATAAGAAAACCAATTCATTTTTACACCTTGTTCTTGCAACATTTGCACAGATTTAAGTTCAACCTTTTCATTCAATAACTCCCCATATCTAACTGTTTGTTCCTTTTTATATATTATTGGATAAGAAAAAGCTTCAATAGTTGATATCCATGTTGGAATTTTTAAGTAATATTGTCTTTTTATCTTCTCCCAGCTCAAAAACAATGCCCCACGAATATAATGTCTTCTAAAATACCCCTGTGTCAATAATCTACTGTTCCTTAGTGTTATCCATTCTTTTACCCACATCAAATTTGTTGCCTGGTAATACAGCTCCCAATTGGGCAAGGCAAACCCTCCTCTTATTCTTGCATCTTGTAACAGCTTTAATTTTATTCTTGCTTTTTTTACCCTGCCAAATATATTTCAACACAACTCTATTTAAATCTTCAAAAAACTCTTTCCCTAATCTAATAGGAATTGTCTGGAATAAATATAAAACTTTAGACAATATATTCATCTTAATTGTGGATATTCTCCCAATCAATGATAGTTGCAATTTTTCCCATTTCATCAAGTCTGTTGCAATCTGCTGTTTGAGTTTAACATAGTTATCTTCCTTCAGAGTACTGCATTTTGGTGTAATATAAGGTATTTAACCTTGTTCATGACCTGTATTTTTAAAGTTTTTTACAACTCTTTCTTTCATCTTGTTAACATATTCTTTGTTAATATCTTTGTTTTGTCTTTATTTATTCTCAAACCTGCTACTTTTCTATATTCTTCTATTTTTTCTATTAATTTGGGTGCTGTTTCTATTGGGTCTTCTAATATAAATACCAGGTCATCTGCAAAAGCTTTCAATTTATACTCTTTTTTAATTTTCATTCCTTTTATTTCTTTTTCCTCTCTGATATTCCTGTTCAACACTTCCAATGTTAACACAAAGGGGATTTTTCATAAAGTAACTTTTATAGAATGTTTGTTTGTTTGTTTATTTAGCATATGGCATGTGTTAGCCAGGGATCACTGAGGTGGCTACCTGCCTCTGTGAAAGGATTTTGGGGGGCCGGTGTTATCTTTACTGGGGGGGGGGGGCCGGAATGCGGGCAGGTATTCGGGGGAGGCTCCTTTCTTGTCCTTACGTGATTTATTTGCTCCTGGGAATCAAACCACCAAGCTGCTGACCTCAATGATGCACAAGCCCAGCATCTTACCATGTGAGCCACCATGACCCCGATGAGGAATGTAAGAATATTAACACACCAATATCTGTGATTTCCTCTTTGCAACATCATCCCAGAATTGTCCTTTGGAGGAACACAAGGGTTCAATTCAACATCTACAAACAAGCAACAAATGCTTGTTTTTTGTCCTATCAAATCCTGTACAGTGGTGTACCCCAAGGTAGCATTCTAGGACCAACTGTCTTCATACTCTATCTAAATGACCTCTGTGATCATATTAAGAGCAACTGTGTTCTTTTCACTGATGTTGTAAAGCTATTCAACACCACTGACAATACTGCTACCATTCAAAAAGACCTCGACTATGTATCAGAATGGTCAAACAAATGGCAACTTCAAATCTCAACAAATAAATGCTCTGTCTTACATATTGGCAAAAAAAAATAATCAGAAAATAAAATACAAGCTGAATAGTCAAGACCTTGCTGATGATACAAACTTTGTCAAGGATCTTGGAGTACTCATCTCAAATGATCTAAGTGCTAGAGCCCACTGTAATTACATAGCCAAAAAGGCATTAAGAGTTGTTAATCTAATCCTGCATAGCTTTTTCTCCAGCAATATCACACTACTAACCAGAGCATATAAAACATTTTCTGGACCAATACTCAAATATAGCTCATCAGTCTGGAACACACATTACGTACCTGATATTAATACAGTGGAGAAAGTCCAGAAATATTTCACAAGCGGAGTTCTCCACTCCTCTACTCATTGCAGAATGCCTTATGCCACCAGACTTGAAATTCTAGACATAGAAAATCTAGAACTACAACACCTTCGGTCTGATCTAAGTATAGTATATAAAATCATACATTGCAATGTCCTACCTGTCAATGAATACTTCAGCTTCAACCATAACAACACAAGAGCACACAATAGATACAAACTCAAGGTAAACTGCACCAAACTTGATTGCAGGAAATATGACTTCAGCAACAGAGTGGTCAATGCCTGGAATACTCTACCTGACTCTGTGGTTTCTTCCCCAAACCCCCAAAACTTTAACCTTAGTCTGTCTACTATTGATCTCACCCCTTTCCTAAGAGGTCTGTAGGGGGGGTGCATAAGCACACCAATGTGCCTACCATCCCTGTCCTACTGTTTCTTTTTTCTTGTTTATATCCATTTAATGTGTTTATCACCATGTTTATACTTATACCCATTGTCTAATAATTGTTTGACAAAATAAATAAATAAATCTATATTCCTTAAGAGAATTTGGCTTCCGGTTTGAGCTTCTTCAGCAACAGACAGAAATCCACAATTGTGCGCAGTTTCAGTCTGGGCTTGCTGCTGGAGCGCCCCAAGCTGGCTGGTTTCAGGGCTAAGCCACTCTGTAGAGGTGGTGAAGAGGAGGGAGACTGCCAGTAGGGTTGAGGAGAGCCACATCTCTCCTCCTCAGCTGGCCATTACTCCCTTTCCTGAAGGCAGTTGCAGCGGTGGTCAGAACTCAACCGGAAAACAATGTGCAGGAGGAAGATAAGAAGTGAAAGTTCTGGCTGACTGGGTTAAATTGCAAAAGCAACAACTAAGGTTGTTGGAATTTAAACTTAAAAAAAAATAACATCTTTCCCAAAGAAGATTCTGAAGCAGCAAAGGAAAGTGAAAAGGGAAAGGTTTGGTGTTTTTCTTCTTCTCTCCATTTCCCTACACTGACAACTAAGAGACTTAAATAAGAAATTGGAAAACAAATCCACTTTGACATCAACAGGCAATTAAGCTGAAAATAAAATAAAATGTCAAAGGGACAATAAAGATTTCTGGACACTAAAAAATTTTTATAAGCAGGAAAGGAGAGAAAAAGAATAAAAGGGCAAGATCTGGAAAAGAGGGAGGAGACTGCCTGGAATTAAAAGGAATCTACAGTAAAACTTCAACAAAACTTCTAAAAGATACATTTTAACTGAAACTTGGCTACTAAATAGTAGAACCCCAGGAAGAGAAAGTGGGGAAAAAAGGCAAGAAGAAACAGCTTGTGTGTATTTGGATTACTTGGTGATCTTTGGATTCTTGGTTATTGCACTTGAATGACTAAAATCAATCAGGTGGTTGTTTAAAAATTTATACAATGGCACTACTTCTGGATGAATTGAAAATGGAACTTAAAAAGTATAAAGAAGATGCAGAAGAAGGAAGAGGTTCTTTTGGCTTCGTTTTTCAATTCTTAGAAATGGAGATTTGGAACTATGAGAAACAATAAGAAAAGACTGCAAAACAAGAAGACTGGGACAAAGAAGAAGCCATCTTTAATAAACAAGTAATTCTATGTGGGAAAGAAAAAGGAAAGGGGGGAAAGAGAATGGAGAATTTAAGATTAAAAAAAACAACTAAAGAAAAGAAAAATAGTTCAAAAAATAAGTATAATATTGGAAAGCAACAGAAGAAGGGAATACAGAAGAGAGAAATAGAGGTAGTGAGACAAGGGGGTAAAAAGGGGATAGAGAAGAAGAGAGGGAAGAAGGAAAGGAAAAGAAGTTACAAAGGAGCGGAGCAAGATATAGAGAAACAGGGCCTATTTAGAGATAATGGGTGAAAATTTAACTGAAAAGGGGATTCTGTAAAGGTACATAAGATTGTATTGTTATGTTAGTAATAGAAATAACTTTAGAAAATTGGAAACAATGTATGATTAAAATGAGGGATAAAATAGTTAATGTAATCTAGTGAAATGTTTGTTAATAAAATAAATGTAATAAAATAAATGAGAGAACTGAATTAGGAAGGGGTAGGAACATTTTAATTAGTTAATGTTTTATAAAATATAAGTGAAGAGGAGGGGGGGAATTAATTATGGAAAGCTTATAACTGTTCCCATAAAAGTATGATATTTAATTGAAAAGTAATGTTAAAGAAGTTAAGATTTTAATGAATATTAACATTAACAATAGAATTGAATTGGAATGGAATGTGTTGTTTTAACTATATATATATTTATAATCTTTTTTAAAGAATATAGTGTGTATTTTAAAAATGTACCAAGCAGAATCCGAATGGAAGTTATGTATTATATTGAATGCTATAACTTTAAGGTTTATATTGAATCTTAAATAAGAGTTAAATGGATAAAATTAAAAGATATAAAGGTGTCATACTCCAATTAGCAACTACAGGAGAAACTTGGTTTAATGAGAAAAGATAATATGAAATTGAAACAGGATAGACAAAAAGTATAAATATAATGATTTGAATTGAGATGAGATAATTAAAATAAAATTCCGAAAATTAACAGAGGGAGAAGCTATGTAGAAAATGTAAAACAGTAATAAGATATGGAATAGAACATAAAAATGAGCATGAAATTGAATTTGTTTCTGTACGAAGAAACCTGGAATTACGATACTTTCAAAAAAGATGTTTTATTTATCTTTCTTTGTGAAAACTCAAATAAAATTTACATTAACAACAAAAAGAGAGAGAGAGAGAGAATCTGAAGAAAAAAAATATGTGATTGGAGGTCCAGACGCATTTCTGAAAATGAAGGAAGGGTGGGAAGAAAAATTTCTTTTTAAAAATTAGTTTTTTAAAAAATATACATATTGAATTATTTATTAGGTTAAATCCTTCTGAAGCAGGTAGCTTAGAGAGCCCCATAGAGACTGGTTATTGGCCTATGATCATTACAAAGACCCACAAACAAAAACACACAAACTTAAATATGGAAAAGTATCTAAAACACATTAATATTTTTGCTGCCTGAAATTATTGATCATAATCATGACTTACTATAATTGCTTCCTCTCTAAAGAATCTATCCATGACAACCATCTCTCTTCCATCGTTCGTATTGGAGATGTGTATGACAACGTGTAAGTATAATACAGTACAAAATATTTTCTTTGCAGGACTGCAGCCTTCCAATTGTTTCATAACTTTTGTGAATATCCAAAGACATCCCAAAAGAATCAGTGAGGAGTTTTTGATTCAGTGCAGGAGTCAGACAAGGGACAAAGCTCATCCCCAATGTTGAATTACTAGGAAACCTCCATTGACAGGTTGGCAGAGTCTTAAAAACCAAGCTTTCTGATTTCCAGCAAAACTTTTGGTGAAGAACTCAGATGAATAAGAACTCCAAAGATGCAAACAATATTGGCCTAGACTTAGCTGTGTATATTATGAAGCATCAAACAGACATGAGAGTTTTAGTATTATAGAGGTAGAAAGTGAAAGAATGGAACAGAAACTGAGCAGAAAGTGGAAGAGATGAAATTTATTTCAGTCCATTAGAATCCCAGTAAAAGAAAAGAGGACAAAAATGGATTACAATGTAACAACAAAACCCTGAACCCTAAGATTTTCTCCCCTGTCCTAATCAGGGAGGTATAGCAGGAGTCTTCAAAGTTGGAAAGTTTAAGACTTGTAGGACTTCAACTCCCAGAATTATTCTTCCAGTCTTGTTAGCTCAGGAATTCTGGGACTTGAAGTCCACAAGTTTTAAACTTTCCAACTTTGAAGACCCTTGATGTATAGGAAGGCCTCAGATAGTCCTCAGCCTCAACTTTCTGGATCACACTTAGAACTGTACTTGTTTTCAAACCAGAAATCTACTGTTTGCAGATACATTTTCCATAGAAGTGGAGGTTGGAGAAATTGTGAGGTAGAATTGCATTATCAATCCTGTTAGCTTTCATTTGGTACACTCCTTGTAATCTGAAATTTAGTGGTCTTTGTATGGCATTGTTCTTGACCACATGACAGCTGTCATATACATGGTCTACTATAGGCTGGCAAGCTCATTTTACTTGACATGGGGAAAAGATCAGCAACTTGATGTTCTCCAGAACTTCTGATTGTAACATTCTCTAAGCTCAGGTTACTAGGCTTCTGGCAAAAGGGGGACATGTCTTACTTTCCCCTCATTTTTTTCACTCTGGCACGCATAACCTTAGAAGGGGTGTTTGTTATTCAATCCCTAAGTTGCATACAACTTTCATGACCCAATGGACCAGTTCCCCCTTATCCACCTCTGTCTCCCAAAGTTTGCCCAAATTCATATTCATGGTATGGATGACCTTAACCATCTCATCCTCTGCTGTTTCCTTCTCCTTTTGTCTTCCATCTTTCCCAAAATCAGAGTCTTTTCCAATGAGTTCTTTCTTCTCATTTGGTGGCCAAAAGTATTTCAGTTTCAGCCTTAGTATCTGTCCTTCCAAAGAACGTTCTGGGTTGTTTTTCTTTGGGATTGACTGTTTGGATCTCCTTGCAGTTCAAGGGACACTCAAGAGTATCAGCCTTTGAAGCAATATTTTACTTGGAAGCTTCGAGGCTGCCACATTTAGTGCCTGGGAATTTGGGAGGCGGGATTTTATAGAGAGGTGGAAGATTAGACTCAACAACTTTCTTTCACAGAAAGTCAAAGACATGTTACCTTGCACCTGGAGGGAAGTGTCTGGAGGAAGGTCTCCAGTTGGGATGACATTTTAATTGGGCCATGTGATGGACTGATGGGTGCAAGAGTTGGATCTTTGAATTCTCTTTTGGGGAGAGAAAATCCAGAACTCTCAGATTCGGGTTTTCCTAGATGTGCCAATATGACAACTCTAATAAAATGAAACTTGGAGAAAATGCAATAAACTCTCAGAGTTTATTGCTTGGAGTTTGTTGGTTGGAATGCTGACAAAGAGTCTTATCCATTACCAGAACTTAAAGCATAATTCTTCAGCACTCAGCCTTCCTAATGGTCCAATTCTCACAACCATAAAATGCAATTAGCATTTATTAGAGTTTGATATGGACAAGAGCTTTTTCTTAGCTATACACTGGAGACCAACTGATAGTACTAGCACAATCCTTTCAATGTATATTTGTGTGCCTGTATTCATACCTGCAACCCCCTCCAAAGAATGTAAATGCAAATATTAAATAGTGTGTCCTCTCCCCAGCATTAGTTTGCCTTTCCTGGTTTTTTTTTGCCAGGGGAGGGGGGGGATTGTCCTTTGTTTGTTCAAATACTCAATAACCCTAGTCTGCCCTCAGCAAGAAGTCTAATGAGGGCGATTGGTGGGCATTTTGGTGGGCAGTGCATCTTGAAGATTTTGGGGTGAAAAGCTTGGCTCTGTATTGAGTACAGCAATTCTCCAGCCTCATAAGAAGCATTGATTTTAGGGCTGTAATTTGCATCAGATGGTGAAAAAACAACGCACATCCATGCTGATATGTGTAAGTGAAAAATAAATGTGTGTCCCTGCATGTGTCCGTGTGTTTGCGCGTGTTTGTATATGAGAGCTGATACTCTTTTCTTTTTTTAAAGCAGGATCCATCGAAAAATGGTTCCCCCTACTGGTGAAAGTGTGGAAAAGTTTCTGAATTCTTCTAAAATACCAGAAATATCCCCTCTAGTTGATAATAAGTTAACACGAAATCTTATCAATGGGTTGATTGCCCTTATTTGCATTTTAGGCCTGGTAGGTAATGGAAAGACAATTTACCTCTTGGCCTTTTCCATTAAGAAGAATCCTTTCACCACGTTCATCCTGAACCTCTCCATCGCTGATTTTGGGGTCCTCACATCCATCATCATGGCAGCTATAGTTGTGGCGGTCTCAACCCTTTATGCAGAAACTTACATTGTCCAAACCTTTTTCTTTTTGTTTTTTGAGCTCTTTTCCTTCACCTATTCTGCTAGCCAGTTTTTGCTGATGGCCATCAGCCTGGACAGGTGCGTGGCAGTCTTCTTCCCTCTCTGGCATCGCTGCCATCGTCCACAAAATCTGTCCACTCTTGTTTGTAGTTTCATCTGGATCTTCTCCTTCCTGCTTTCTGTACTGCACTACATTCTGTATCAAACCAACAGCTTTGGACGTTCACCTGTGCTTTACCAGCTGATCGTGAATGGTTTACTTTGTACGCCTCTCATGGTTGTGTCCACTGTGACTCTCTGGATTCATATGTGGTCTAAATCTCAACACAATCAAAGGAAACTCCTCACCACTATCTTGCTGTCTCTCCTCTTCTTCCTCCTTCTTTCTCTCCCAATCGATGTCTTATATGTCGTTTATTATTTTGGATTCCATCCTGCTTTCCTCTTGACCACTGGGATAGGATGTGCCACTCTCAACAGCAGCATCAACCCGCTCCTTTATTTCTTAGTGGGGAGGAAGAAGAGAGGAAAGGATCAGCCCAGAGCATCGCTGAAGATGGCTCTGCAAAGAGTCTTCAGGGATGAACAGGAGAGCTCAGAAGGGCAGCAAAGTACAAAGAAAGAATGTTTGTGAAGCGTTTCTATCACTGTACATTCATGTTTGAAAGCCATAAATTATATGGGTGTTCAATAAAAAACACAATTTATTCAACAAAGTAGATAACCGCCAAACAATACAAAAAGGAAATATTGCTGCATTAATAATTTCCAAAGTGAAGATATTGATACAGAAAATGCCTGACTTCATATAAATTCTTTTTTATATCATAACATGAAATTACATGTCTGACTTCATATAAATTCTTTTTTATATCATAACATGAAATCAAATGTTTGACTTTGTATAAATTCTTTTTTGTATCGTAATTACTATTAGGAATACTTCTTAGTGAATATTTCTTTTTCTAAAAAAATGTAACTTTTATTGTATTTGCTTTTAATCCTGAAGTACTTGGTAGAAGAACATATGACTTCTCTAAAAACTTGCAAATTTGTCTGCGTAATGAAAGAAAAGGGAAAAACATGTACACAATATATTTCCTGAAATAAAATGTGACAGTTTTGATCCTCACACATTTCAGGCGTAATGTTCATTTATATTTAATAACAGTTCATTATTAATAATTTTCATTTGTTGTATTTTTTTTTAGTATTCTTTAAAGATATGTAGGTTCTATTACTGTAAGCCTTTTTTTCCTGCCATTCTTTTTGGGACCTTTCAAGTCATTATTTCTAGTTGGCACCGAAACTCACCTATTAAGTTCTAAGAACGTAATAAACCTTTCTGTTCATTCATAAACTTCATCTTGGTTTGTATTCTGTATGGCTACTTTTGAATTAGTCCTCAACTTACGACGGTTAATTTAGTGACTGTTCAAAGTTACGACACTGAAAAAAGTGATTTTTTTTTACAATTATGACCATGGTCATGTGATCAAAATTCAGCCACTTGGCAACTGACTCATATTTATGATGGTTGCAGTGTCCTTGGGTCATGTGATCAACTTTTGCAACCTCCTGATAAGCAAAGTCAATGGGGAAACCAGATTCACATAATAATCATGTTACTCATTTAATAATTTCAATGATTCACTTAACAACCATGGCAAGAAAAGGCATAAAATGGTTGTTAAAAACTCACTTAAGAAATGTTTCACTTAGGAGCTTAAATGTTGGGTCATGAATCAAGGACTATCCGTTTATAAGTTTTAAAAATCTTTTTCAACTTTGTGTATCTTTGTTTTTTTTTATCTCTTAATGGGTGGTCTTTAGCTGGTGGTCAGTGAATAATGTATGAAGATGAGAAATACAACTTATTGTATGCTTATTGATGTAGAAAAAGTGCAATGAAAAATCAATGGCCTTGAATTACAAGGTGGTTTTATTTTTGCAAAGTGCAGTTTCTGAATGAGATTAACAGTTGTGCATCATGAAAGAAAAGGAGAGGGAATAAATAAAATAGATCCAGTAGAGAAACAGGAATCAAGTCCTTAAGGAAAGTCCAGTGGCCTCTTGAAAAAAGACCTTTGGGACAGCCATGATCTGGATGACTGAGAATCTTCATGGACATTAAGGAAACAATTGAAAAAAAAAGTCCCCTGAACCAGACGAGTTAGGTCTGAGGTTAGGAGGGACTTCTCCACAAATCTCATCAACAACTACCAGAGTTGGAAGTCAACAAGTAAGAGTAACTGCCAGTCTTGTGAATCAGCAAAGCAAGGGCTTTTCTGGATAAAAGGGACCCTGAAGCCCACCCCTCTTTAAGTCATCTTTGGATTGAGACTTGATGTCTTCCATCCAGAAGGGAGGCTCTCTGATGAATCATCAAAAATCAAAGCAAGTTAAATAAGACTGCAGCTGTACTCAACTTTTGTCTGTCCACTACCTGCAAAATGGGTGTCACAATAGCTGGGCTGGTATGCAATTATGACATTGCACTGGGAGCAGTTACAAGATCTGCAGAGGGTATGGAGGGAATTGCTGATAAGAAATATCCCAAAATAGTTCAAATAGCGCAATGCTGAAACCAATGTGAAAATTTGGTTGATTTGTTCCAAAATAAAACTTCACTCTCTTTCCAATAGGTGGCCTCCAAGAGTGGCGGAAGATGCGGGTGTTACCAATAGGGGGCGTACTGAGAAACATTGCATAAACTGGGAACTGGATTTTTACTTTGGGGGGTTTTCCCATTAAGACTGAGATTATCTTGCAACTTGGAGATATTAAGATATATTGAGCTTCGAGATATATTTTTTTGTAAAATGTTTTTTATTTTTTACATTTTATACATTTTTTCACACGAGCAACATGTTTCCAGATTATAACACTTGTACATAGTCATATTTTCATTTCCATTAATCTTATATAATATTAACTTATATTATTATCCATTTCACTCATCTTTAAATAAATTTGCCATTCATATTTCAATTCATTAATTCAATATCAATATCATTTCATCCATACATATGTTTTCAATTCTTTATCCCCTATTATTTCCATTTTCAGCTTACCACCTATTATATTTTACATTACACATCATTATTGTCCTTAATTTTCTCCAAGATGATATATAATAAGCAATCTAAAAAGAGTAAAAATATAATAAAACCAATATATTTAGGATCCACATGATATTTTCCATTCCCCTACTTTAATCATAATAAAATATTCTTGTTGTACAATTCTAATAGCCATTAAATAATCAACTGTATATATAATCAACTGTATATATCCCCTCCAGTAAATCACTAAAATAACATCTTAATATCTCTCATTTTATCTTCATTTCATTTCATCATATTTTTTAAATTCATTTAAATGCCCTTATTTTAATCCTCGAAAAAATAGAAGGGTTCATAACAACACGTTTTATATACAGTTCATAATCATATATTTATGTCATTATACATTCCCAAGGTATTTCTCAACAAGTTTTAAACTAAATACCAATATATATTCCATGCAGTATCCCCCTTATAGAAGACCTAACCCTTATCTCTAAATGTTTTGGCTTTATTAATTCTTTTAATCTTAGCCAACTTTCTCTTTTCTAAATTTTCCTGATCTTATTTCTTTCTTTGTAACATTCCTCCCATTTTCTCCCCAAATTTCCTGTTCTCTTTTTTGAAATTTCTTCTTGTATATTTTTTTCTTCTTTTGTTTAATCCTGAGAACGTTTTCTCTTTTGTTTATTGACTCTGTCATCAATGTCATAGTTTTAATTCCTTTAGTGTCTTTTGGCAGTGTTTCTTGTTTTCAAAGTCTATCTGAGACTCTTTTTTCTTCCTTTAACTCTACCTCACTGGAAGTTCTTTGTTCTTCTGCCACCACCATTATTTTCTTTTCCAATATTTCCAGTAATTACCTTCTTTCTTTCAACATTCCTCTTACAGTTTGCAATTCCAACTTAAAGTCTTTGCTTATTTCTTCTGGTTTTTTTTATAACCAGTTATTTATATTCAAAGTCTTTTATTGCAAGACTTGCCAAAAGTCACCTTTTATATTTGTTTCTCTTGTTCATCCTTCTGTCTCTTTCAAAATCAACACCCAACTGTAGTGGGTGGGATTTTACCAGTTCTGTCCAGTTCTATAGAGCTGGTTGTTAAAGTTCCCAGTAGTTTGGGGGAACCGGAAAAATAGGCCCCTGGCTGGCCCTGCCCCTCTCCGCCTGCTTCTCCGCTCACTGCCCAGTCAGTTCTTATCACACATGTGCAACATCACATGCATGTGCAACAAGCTGACTGCATTCTAACTCAGCTCCTCCTTATCATGGCCATGTGCCATCACTGCCTGCAATCTGCCTTCGTCCACCCACCAGGCAGCCATCGCTGTCTGCCTTCCACCATGATCTCCCTAGGTAAATGAGGCTCTTGATGCAAGTTGCCCCATTCACCTACCCTGTTGCCACCAGTTTCCTTTTCCCCCCCACTTGCCTTTTGCCCCCGCTGCCCGTCACCTTCCCCCCCACTTGCCTTCAGGGGAGAACACATGGAGCAGCTCCGTAAGCTAGGTGGGGTCAGTGGCTGCTTCTTTCCCCTGCTGGTCTAGCTGGGAGAGTGAGAGAGTCTTTCTTGGAAAAGCAAAATTTAGCTTATCGCTGTGCAGGAAAGACTTTGTTGCTCTCCCAGCAAAAGCCACAGGAGAACATGTGGAGAGGCTCATGTTGGGTCCAGCGGGGTCAGTGGATGCTTCTCTCCCCTGCTGGTCTAGCTGGGAGAGTGAGAGTTTCTTTCCCAGCACAGTAACATTTAGCTTTGGGTCCTGCAAGTCCCCATCCGTAAATGGTTCCAGAAGGGAGGGGGACTTGCCGAACCCAAAGCAGCAACTCCCGGTTGCTAAAGTAGATTTTTCTGTGCTGCACAAGACGGTCTCCGTTTCCCAGGGCCCCGAGGGCCGTCCTCCCAAACCACCACCGCCGCCACTCCGAAGCTCGCCTTCAGGAGGTTCTTGCTTTGTTCCCCAGGAAGGGCTCCCTTGTGGGGGGCTGTGTCCAGGGGTGGGATTCAAATTTCTTTACAACCGGTTCTGTGGTTGTGTCCTCTTTTGTGGGTGTGGCTTGGTGGTCATGTGACTGGGGTGGAAATGGCTTGCTGACTGGGCATAGTTAGGTGGTCATGTGACTGGGGTGGGCGTGGCCAGATGGTCATGTGACTGGCAAATCGAATGTAAGTGGTCTTCACTTAATGGCCAGTTGCTTAGCAAGTGTTCTAATTTACGACTGACCTCCACATAGCTTCTTGGCCGGTTTTTGGTGTTTTGACAGCCACACAGAGACACACACACACATTTATGTTTTCTGTTTTTTTGCCAGTTTCCAAGGCCTGGGGAGCTCTGGAGAGGGCAGGGCGAGGCCCAGGCATGTGGCCACGTGACTGGGAAACCAAATGTAAGTTGTCTTCACTTAATGACCAGGTCCTCGCTTAATGGCCAGTTACTTAGCAGGGTTTTTTTCCCAGTTTCCAAGACCTGGGGAGCCCTGGAGAAGGCAGAGCAAGGCCCGGGCAGTTGGCCATGTGACTGGCAAAAAAATTATAAGTGGTCCACGCTTAATGTGCAGGTCCTCACTTAATGGCCTGGCGCTTAGCAAGTG